TGCTACCTTCATTTTTCGCCCTGTTTTTCTTTTAGATTGGAATTGGTGATCGACCATTCCTTGTTATCCTTAACCATGCCATTTACAGCATTACAGAATTTTGTCATGTTCACTCCGTCATCTCTTTTCCAGGCTAAAAAGACCTATTCTGCTTACTTGTTTCGGTCGTGGTTTAACCCCAGCCGGCAACTAAGCCCCACACAGCCGCTCGCTCACTCCTCCCCTGCCCCGCTGGGATGGGGGAGAGAATCGGAAGGGCAAAAGTGAGAAGACTTGTGGGTTGAGATAAAGACAGTTTAACAGGCAAAGCAGAAGTGGCGCACGCAAGCGAAGCAAAACCAGGAATTCATTCGCTCCTTCCCATGGGCAGGCAGGTGTTCGGCCATCTCCAGGAAAGCGGGGCTCCCTCACGCGTAACGGTTACTGGGGAAGACAAACGCCATCGCTCCGAACGTCCCCCCCTCCTTCTTCTTCCCCCAGCTTTATATGCTGAGCGTGGCGTCATATGGTGTGGGAGATGCCTTGGGCCAGCTGGGGTCAGCTGTCCCGGCCGTGTCCCCTCCCAGCTTCTTGTGCCCCCCCAGCCCGCTCGCTGGTGGGGTGGTGCGAGAGGCAGAGAAGGCCTCGACTCTGTGTGAGCACTGCTCAGCAGTAACGAAAACATCCCTGTGTTACAATGCTGTTTCCAGCACCAATCCAAAACACAGCCCCATACTAGCTACTAGGAAGAAAATTAACTCTGTCCCAGCCAAAACCAGCAGACTTTCCCTATAACTCTTATTATCTTTGTTGTTTTCCTCTGAACTTTATCTTGTTCTACTGTACAGATGTCCTGTTGCTCCTTCTCCCCTCCTCCCATAGTTAGCCAGATCACCTCCCGTGTCCTTTGAAACTTGGATACTTCAAAACTATTAGGGTGGTTTGGCTTCTGCCTTTTCTCATTTGTAATATGATACCTGCCTGATGATAAAAGGGCCATCAAGACTGCCTCTGCAGAAATCCACTCTTCTGTCTGGACGACTGTCTACAGTGCAATTAAACTGCCAGCAAGCAACCGTAACAATCCATGGTTTTGAAATTAGGTATCATCATTTTGTGACAAGATCAATATTTCACCTGAAAGATTATTATTTATGTTTGAGAAAGATTAGCTTGAATCAAAGAAGAGAACAACTATGAGGGTGATTAGAAGAGTGAAGTATATATAGTCTGCAAAGAAAGAAAGGGTTTATGCTGTCGAAAAGGACTATAGGGGCTTTTTACAGAGATTATTGGGGAAGGAAGGAAAGACCTATTTATGCAGAGGGACGCAGTGGAAAAACATCGAGAGAGTTGAATTAGTTCTGGGCAAAGGTAGATTGGAAGTTAGAAGAACTTTTTAAGTGTTTGAGGAGTAATGTTTCTGCAAGAATTTTTGCATGGCAGATGTGAGGGCAGGAACCTTAAATCTGTTTAAGATGATGCCCCGGAGAGGGGCAGTGACATTTGGCTAGCACGTGTATTCTTGTTTCCTAGAGGCTTGGAAGGAGATTCATTTGCTGTTTCTCTGCATCATATTTACGTTGTATTAATCCTCTGTGTCAGTGCAGCCACTGGCTGTCTGCAGAGACAAAAATTTGAATCTGAGATAGCAATTTTGGGTTTAGCATAGAGAGCAAAACTGCATTTATGAGACATTTTTCATTCTCAAATCCTACTGTAATGTGCGTATGTGCTCCCGGTACCAACTTGGTATGAGTGTGCTCTTGGCAAAGTAAACTGATCAAAAAAGCTACCTTATTTCAATTAAAACTGAAAGAAATATTCTTTCAATCCAAACACTGATAAAAAGATCAACAGTTTTGTTTCCAATTAATTGACTAGATGAGCATCTTTTTCAATATATTTGGAAGAAAATTCTTCTTGCAGAAACTTTTTCAGTTATCTGTAAGTGTAAGGTCTTAATAGCAAATCTGGTTTGGTTTGGTTTCGTTTCGTTTCGTTTGTTCTTTCATTTGTTAAGTAGTCAGGTAGTCCTTAAATAGCCTCTCATGCTACACAGTTGAGACATCATCTCTCACGTGTTTGGAGACCTACAGTGTTAGAATTCAATGATGATGTCATGATCTCTTGCACACATAAGAACCAAAAATGCACCTGTGTTCAGGTGGGGAACGGGCGCTTTTAATCTTGAAAACAAGATAGTACTCAAATATGTTATTTAATGGGAAAAGGAAACTTATTTTAGCAAAACTGTCATTACTGAAAATAAATTTAAAATCTAGTTTATTTTCTTGTAAAAACAGACATAGCAATTCAGAATATTGCGTACAGTCTTCTTGTCCTTATGGTAAATGTTTATTTACTTTTCAGCCCCCGGTGCACTATGAATAAACCCTAACAATGGTTTGCAGGTAGCAAAACTCTGAGCATGTTTGAAAACATTAGAGAGATTTCACACACATTTTCTTCATTTATGAAAAGTTGAATTGATGGCTTCTAAAAACCTTTTTATGGAAGAGTCCTTGTGACATTGATAGCATGGTGACAAAAACAGAATTACTATGACTCCGCTGTTTTAAGGTTAGAGGTATATTTAATATGCATAACACCAAAATACCAGTTTTTAAACACTGAAATCTTACAGCATTTGCTTCATTCATTGCCCATATTGCCTCTAAGCAAGGTTTTTATTGATATCAAGAAATTCCTTTTTCCCTTTCTTTTCTTTTTTAAATTTTTATTTTTCTTTCAGTAAGACTCTCCTTTGGTTAATATTTCTTTACTTTGAAAACTACAGCCCTCTTAAACTAGACAAAACTGTACTTCGTAGTCCTTCAGAAGGAAGCTTAGAGATGATTTGGTGTAACTACCAGTTCAGTGAATGCTGAATCCGTGGTGTTGCTAAACCTGTGCAGGTGTTTCCAGCTGACCAATGCCAGGCTAGGGTTTGGTTAGGATACTGCTTTAAATGCCTCTGCAGTTAAGCACCGTGTAAGATTTTGCCATAAAGTACCAGAGTCTGCTAGTGCTGTGACAGCCTATTGAGCCCAGCAGTTTCCTTTTGCAGATGAACAGTCTGTGCATGGAAAGCAGTGAGGATAGAAAAAACTAGACTGAAATTATGAATACCCTGACCCTAGAGACATTTAAAGGCTAATGGCATTTCTATGCAGCTTTCTTTTGCTCGCAGAGATGCCTCTGTTTCCTTCACTGACGCTGTTTCTTGGATGAACTGTAATACAGATATTGTAATGAATAGCAGGCACAAAACAGTGAGATTAATTTACAAACACCGAAACCAGACAAAAACAAAGTCACTTTTAGTGGCAAATAAAAGAATTATTTTCTTTTTTGTTTCTTTTTAGCTGAATGTTTGTTTCATTTGCACTAGGAGGAAATCACTTGAAACTATTCTAGAATAAGTTTGCCCAGGTAGCTATCGTGTGTAATTTATCTCCGAGGAGATGCACCCACCCACAAGCACACGAGAAGCTTGTCCTAATGATCATCTTGTCTCTCGGGCAGACCAGTTGGCGCAGGGCAGTGCTAAACAACACTTCCGTTGCTTCCAAGACTGTTCCTCCAGAAAGCCCAAACATCGCCATTGGCAATGTGGAGCTGAACACAGCCCTGAGGTACCCTGGATCAATATACTTGTTTGAAAAGTATGACACGTAACAGTTTGTTTTAAATTACTGAGATATGTCAGGTAGGCCTTGTTTCTGCCTTGTCCAAAGATCAACTAAATCTAGTCCTCTCGTATTCCTAGCCCTGCACTACTCAAATGGGTCTCAGTGGAAGAGTGCTGAAGATTGCACACACGTTGTTGTTTATATGGAGAAAACATGCCCTTTGGCGAAATAATTCCAGTTACTAGCTAATCCTGGCAGTTACCTGTGTAGAATCCTGTTAATTATCATCTTCAACCACTTGGCCTGGGGATCTAAACAGATTTGCTGGCTGTTCTTCAGTGTTGCTCTGCAGTGGAATGAACATTTCACTTTAGTTAATATTGGCACCTGAGGAGGTCAGAGGAGGATGCAGACAAGGCTGAGGATTATAACCTTAAGGGCTGCCAAGTCTTCAGCATTCATAAGCTGTAACTTCTCTCGCCTGCCGACTTTACTTACATGATTTCCACAGCGTTGCAGTGTGGGCCCTTAGGAATGATTTCTACGTTGGCCAGGTGCTTTGGCAACATTAATCCTGTGACAGTCTGGATGCAGTGACACCGCAGCTCCGCTGCCAGCATCATCTCTGTGAGGAAAGGAGAGGGAAGCTTATAATGTCTGCAGCTGAACCAAACTAACAATGAAAATCTTAATTAGAGAAAGCAGAAGGGATAAAAAGTTCATGCCTCAAGGTACAAATGGACTGCTATTCATGGGTTTAAGGTAATACCTTCACTGAGCAAGACAGTGGGCAGCAAGGGCATTTGAGATCTGCAGACTTTGTACAGGTAACAATTTATAAGTTCCCATTATCACTACAATTATTTCGGCTTCCCACACCATCAAGTGCAACTAAAGGCTACTGGGAGTGTGGGGCTCCTATCTTATGAGAGGAAGAAAAAGCTAGCTGAAGACGCAGATGGCTACTCCCCTTGAGTAGCCTGGAGGTGAAACCTGTTCGGGCTAAAATTCTACACTGGTGTGTGGTGTGAAAAAGCCACGAAAACATTCAGCTTAGGAGCTTAATCAAGATGCTAGGAAAGGTGTGTTTTGAAGCAACTCTGGGTAAGTACTAGGAGCAAGAAACCCAACAAGCTTTGGGATGGAGTTTGATTAAATTACACCACACATTGTACAACACCCAAGTCCATGGACTGAATTTGCTGTTACCTGACGGTCTTTCCAGAGCCACGTTGCCCTAGTGAAGCAAAAAAAAATGTTATCCCAGCTTTAGGGATTGAGCACAGAGCACCAGAGAGGTGGTGGAAGTTATCCAAGATCACAAACCGTGAAGCCCAGGCCTTTCCCAGCTCCACCCACTGCAGACACTGGGGTATCTTCCTGATTTCAAGTTAGGTATCACAGGTTAAAATGCACAATCGCAACTCTCACATTTGTCCGATTTTCCTACTAAGGCAAGCCTCATCTTCAGCTTGAAATTCCTGACAGTTGAACTGTGGAATATATTTGAAAGAGGACATTCAGTACTTTGAGGGCAGTATCAACAAGAAGCAAAGACAAGCTTCAGATAAATGAATGTGGGGCACGTGGACACTCTTACTGAGATGCGTAGGGCTGCAGGAGCCCAAATCCCAGTCAATTCATCAGTCCTCTCTTACTGTGGGTAGTCTTGACATCCCTCAAGACCAAACAGCAAACCCCTTTACCTCACCCTGTGCTAGTTCTTGTACCTTGATATGATCATCCACCTATTTCCCTTCTTCACTTATCTTCTGCCCAGCTGCATCTGCCGGTGCTGCTTCTGGCTGACCGACACCTCCCTACCTACCTGACAGACAGCAGAAACAAACGTGCTTGCAAGTCAGGCATTGCGAAGCACAGAGCATTGCAGCAGAGCAGCAACATCCCATCTGCAGGCTCAAGAGAAGAAAATGAGATTCCCACAGGCTGTGCCAGGGCTTCACTGCAGGTGTGTATAATAATACAGGCATCCTGTTAGCCAGTTGCCCAGCCTGGAGGTTGGCCACATCCAGCTCTGTTCTGGTTCAGGAGAGACTGCAGATGTCTGTCTTCCCAAAGTGAAGCCAGGACGCAGTAGGAGCAAGCATCTACATGGTGCTGAGGCTTGGAAGCATTCCAGACCCCTAAACTTGGCATACTTTCTACCCATAAAATACTTCCTGGATTTTCCCAGCAGAGTTTGTTTTTTTTTCCCCTCATGCTTCTCAGGAAAGAGCTTTTACAGTTGGCTGTTGATTAGAAATAGATTGATTCAAACTAAGTTGAATATTCCAAGCTTTCATCTCAGAGCCTGTTATCATAAAAGCAGCATGAAAAGTGATAGCAATGCAATATGCCACACAGTTATTGCAGGCTATCACTTCTGAGGCCCTGGTTGTAACCTCATTTTTCTCAGAATATTTAAGGGACAAGTTCACCAATGTCGGTGAATCTCCACTAGCAGAAGAGTAATAGGAGACAAGAAATAAGCCCACTCTGACGGTCCATGAATATGTTTTTCTTGACCTGCTACTTCAAAGACAGTGTATGGAAGTCCTACACACCTTGAAAACATTCTGTTTAACTAAACCATATTGCAGAAGAATTGTAATACAAAGGAAAATAAATTGAATTTTCTTACCAGGAAAGTGGCCCATAAAAGAGAGAATCAGGAGGGAGATTACAGTCTTGCTATCCATGACTGCTCTCTGTGCCTTCTTATGGTGAACTGAAAACACACTCCGCTGTGTCTTCAGACCCTCATGGGACTGCTGACATGGTTATATTCCAGGATTTGCTTCTCATGCACATGTACATACAGATGGAATTACTCTCGCTCGTGCTTTTGCCACAGCCAGAACAAGTGGTGGGAAAATCTGAGATGAAACAGCTTGAGATAACACACCTGAAACTGAGTAGTAAGTTGGAGCCACTCTGCTTGCTGTGATTCCCTCTTAATTCCAAGAAAACAGTAGAACACTAAGAGAGAATAACATGCTGGTTAACGGAGTGAGAGAGGTATTAAGCTTCATCGGTTGTCATCATTTATAGCTCAGTACTTGCTTAATTTTCTCTCAGTGCTGAAATACAAGACAGAATCAACTTCATAATAGAACATTGGCAAAAATCTAGGTGATTGTGTTATTTGGATAGGATGAGGAAGTCAGAGCATTATCGCATTAAGACAACGATCTTTACGAATTTGTTACATGTATTTATCCACTATCCCATATAACACCCAGCAAATTCATGGGCCAGAAAGGGCCAGGGACTCTTCCTGTAGCTGAGGACACACTTGTCTGTAGGAAAAGAGACTTCAGCTGTATGGACGAGACACGCCATGCCACATGCTCTGATGTCCAGAAAAGAGCTCCTGACCTCTTGCATTTATTCATACCATATAATAGTAATAAAAAAAAAAAAGATTTTAAGAAGGTTTGAGTTTTCAACACCTCTGAATATTACGTGGTGTTTTAGAAAGCACTTAAAGCTATGCTTTAACTTCGTCATTCCAGCTCCCATTCCTTTAAAAGGGAACTAATAATGTGTGGTTCACGATTTTGTTTAATGAGGATTTGAGTTACTTGTGCAACACCACACACGGAAAAAAAACCCAGCTGTGGAAACACTGGGAACAGCCACCATCTCCTCATGCTCCCTTCTACGCCCTTAGCCCTCTTGGGTTTTACTCTGTCCTCAGTCAAGGACAATTTAATTCCTTCTTGCAAGTCCCTTCAGATTTGCAAGCACAAAGAGGCTGCCTCTTACTATGCTCTTGCATTTAACCCTATTGAATACATCTCTTTTTTCAGATCTCTTCTTCCCGATTCTTTCTAGGTGTCTCTCCCGAGAGGAAAATTCAGATCTATACTAAAAAAATGCATGCATTTGCCACACCGCTGGTCGCTGTCTCCCGGCCTATGACCAGACACGCACGCTGCTTTTGATTCCAGTCCAGCCCTGCCTTCTCTTGTAATGAATTGCTGATGATTTTGCTATACCTAAAATATTGTATTCAGAAAGGATTCCTGAAACTGAGGCACTCAGTTCTATCCAGTCGACGATACAGAACTGTTTTGTGTTGTTATGCAAGTGAGTGGTAGCTCACAAAATGAACAGATATTTGTGGTTTTGTGTGTGTATTTGCATATTGTGAAATTGGTCATTTCATGAAATGACCAAAATGTGTTGGTATTTTTAGAAAATGACTGAAAGAATAGGTAAAAATGTTAAGAAGTACCTAATTACAATATTTTGGATTATTAACTCAAAAGTACAAGTAAGAATGTTTTTTCTAAAGCGTGTATTTAGAAAAGCATTTGCTTTCAAAAACAGTAAAGCTTGCCACTACAGTTCTAAGATTATTTTCACAACTGAGGTTATTTCATAAAACAATGGAAAACTTTAGGGTTTTTGCGAAGTGAACAGTTCACAGTAGAAAAGTATCATTGGTTACTGCAAGGACCGGGATAAAAGAATTGTTTTATGTGTATCTGTAGATACGCCTTTCTGAGAAGTTGCTAACATTTCCTGCAAAATAACCTTTCAGCTTTGGGCCATATATTAATTTGCATAGAGTTTGACTTCAGTCCTTTATAAATAATGTGGAGGCACGTATTTTTGCATTCTCAGCAGGTGTCAACTGCAAGGCTGCTCTGCTGTGTCTGAACACCTCTGTGACACTGTAATACTTGCATTTTTGTAATCAGTGGAGGAACCTGCACCTCCTGGTCGCGTATCCGCAGCCCAATGGGCTTGTTACCACCACCTGAAAATTTATAATCTCAAGCTTGTCCTTAAAGGAGAACAACTAGGGTGCAAGGCAAGGCATAAATTCTGGGACTGGCAAGGGACTTTTGCCCTGAGACCAACAGAGGAGTATCCCGTGGAATTCCACAATGAACAGGAAAAACCTCTGCAAAACCAACAAGGTTGGGCTCTACGCATATAGTGACAAACGGCATCAATGGGATGGTCAGGAGGGTAGACTTGTGGTTTCAGCATAATAATGAGGTCCACTGGAAATGTGAACTGCATTGGTCCAGTCTTGGAAAGAGGCATCCATTTCTGTGGTGGAGTTGGGATGATTGAAAAAGAGCTGAATGGTAGAAGTAGGAGGGAAGGAGAAGCCAAGTGCAACTCCGGTTCTGCAGCCCAACACGGTGTGACTAGAGGTGAGACAGAAGAGGGTTGAGGTCATTTGTCATTGTGCTTCCTTTTTGGGAACTTTTTGCTCTGCTTGGAGAAGTGGGAAATCCAGTAGACTTGCTTCAACGTCTGGATAAGCCTCATCAGAAACTGCCTAGAGCAGTGAGGTCTCATTGTATGGTGGTGTAACAGGTGACACTGTTTTTCTGTGTGTCTGCAGTAGAGCTGACATCACCTGTGTGGAAGAAGTGAGTTGGCTAGCGTAGGTCCAGTCACAGAGCTTTGGTAGCCAGACGTGTTGCGTATGCCTGGGTTTGAAAATGACCTCCTTGAATTCCTGAAGGGTGTTTTGAACCAGGAGGTGCTAGTCCATTAGAATGCCAGGAAAAAAGGCAGTCAGGCTCTTGTTTTTCTCTGTCAAGTATTGCCTAAAATGCCATTTATTAGAGCTATCACTATATGGAAGAAGAGGGTAGTAAAGATAGTCTTCCGTCCCTTCAGATGCTGGTAACCCTAGGTTCTGTGGTACCGAACAGGGCTCCCTCCAGTCAGGGCACAGCTTTCTGTGCAGATCCTGACTGCGGAAAGGTTACCCCACTGAGAGTCATTCAAGCTTTTTTGAGGCTTTTCTGAAAAAGCAACAACTCTATTTATTCTTTCTACTGACCAGCATTGAGTGGGAGCTCCCTGCAGACCTCTCCGTTACAATGAGCTAGCTAAATTTATCCTGCAGCCGAGGGATATATGCAGTACAGCACAGGTCTGAAGGTCAAGCTATATGTGCAGTGCAGCACAGCACGGGCCTGGGCCTGCTCCGGTTAACTGAGTTAGGTGGATCACCGACTCCGCAATGCACAGGTGAATCTCAGTCAGGATAACTACAAGGGGGACCTCTGGCTTAGCTGCCAAATGGCACAGGGACCTAAATCCATGTGAAACAGAACTCCCACGGAGAGGAAAAAGAGCAAAGTTTCTCTTTTTCTCGCTAATAAAAAGGGAAATATAGTCTAAAAGAGGGCAAAATGTTGAAAAATGCAAAGAAGAAACAGTCTATTAGCATAAAGTTTGAGAAGGAAAATGTTCTCGAGGAAGACAGTAAATAATCACTCCACCTCCCTTAGCAATGTGGACTATGGGGGAAAACTCTGAATATTTTTTTCTGACAAATAGTATCACAGTCATTTGGAAGCTGCTGGTTTTCCTTACAGCCAGATTTCACCATATGACTGAACCAGTAACACTAGTCATTAAATACCTTCAGCTTCTAGGTAGTTCACATTATGACCCAGTGGAACAGCCAAGTTGGGTATAGAATATCTATAATTTGAGTCATTTTGTGATTTCATAATATGCAGTTGATCTAAGCAGATGTGTGCGTGTGTAGAGATATATATATACAGTTGTCATACTGTAAAATCTGCCCTTTGATAGACTTTTTAAAAATTTAATTATATACATATATGTAAGTAACCCCTCCCATTCTCCGTTGCTTTTTGGCATGTAGCTTTGTTCAGCTGACACTCTCCCCTAATTTCTTCTCTCTTTAATGTTTGCAAAGTTGCGTAATTGGATTCATTGTTTTTCTCAGATGCAGGACATCTTTTTAGCCCTTTGCGACTCTGAATTTCTGCACTCATCTGATGGATAAGTCAGGCAAAATAGATTATTTTCCCTGGAAAGGGTTTTAATATAGTAAGACTTTTTCCCTTCAAGAGGAACAGTAGGAAGATGGTATCACTAAAAAAAAAAAATAAAAAAAATCTCCTTTTCTGAGTGATGTAACTTTCTCCTAACCACAACGGCCTAAATATTGGACTTCAAAATTCTGGCATTACAGAGAGAAAAGCTATTTCATACATCAAGAAGTTTTCAAAATTCAGTAAGATTTTTCTCTACGTCCACAACTCGGAAAAGTAATGTCCAGTTACTTGCTAGGTAAAGAGGAAGAAATAAGGAACAAAGACAATCCTTGTTCATATGAATTTGCTTTCCAATGATTTCTCTCAAAGAAAAGCTAGACTGTGTTATGAGGATGAGCCAGCTTTCTTCAGGTGTCACAGGCGAACACTGTATGACTCCTAGTTGTGTCAACAAGGCCAGGCTATGGTTATACCTTCAGATAAGGTTCTATTGAATTTCATGAGCAAACAGCAATTGATTTTTCTGTCACTAGTAAGTACTATGTACCTAGTAATTGAAGATCTTGTTTGCACTAGAAACGTGCACTAAAAAAGAATCCAGAGGTGGAGATTCTTTGCTTTAAAAGGTGTCAGGGCTCCTTGCTACAGCTGGGACCCGAACAATTTGTTTTTCTGGAAACAAATTTACTGTTGTAGACTGTCACGGTTTCTTACCGCAGCCAACACTTGCTCCTTCTCACCCAGCAAAACATGTTTAACTTTAAACACAGCCCCTCTTTAAGTTAAACCAGAATACATGTTCCTGCGGATCGCGGGGGCTTACTTGGATTCAATACATCCATCCTGGGGTTTATCTCTCTTCACATCGGCAGCTCCGAGGGAAGGGTTTAAATAATGTGCCTCTGAATCTAAAAGCACATTTGCTCAGTAC